AGTGTGCCCATTCAGGTAGGTAGTTACCTAGGGTTCTAGTGAGAAGTCGTGACCAGTAGGGTGCAGCAGGTTGGGTGTGAGGACAAATACTCGCCGAAAACATTGGCTAGGGGTCGCGCTATCTCGTCAATTAGCAGAAATTAGAATTCATGGACTGGCCATTTGATCGGGTCCCAGTGGCTTAATGGTCTACGAGCTAGCTCGCCTTGTAAACAGAAGGTCTTGGGTTCGAATCCCTGTGGGTGCGTACTGATGAAGAGTCCCAAACTAGGACGAAACAGCTGTGCAGTACTCTCAGGTTTTCCAATGGTTGTCTAACCAATGTCAGCTCATGATGAAATCCTGTAACACATATAATTGTTTTGTGTGTGTATAAAATAGGATTGTAAAACAAAAATAAAACAAATAAAAATTTGTTCCATATTAATGAGCACAATATATAAAACTCAGGCCAATAAAACAAAAGCATTCATCATTGTACAATGAAAGTGTAAACTTAGAATCATGAAGCCTGATTTTCATCATTCATTAATTGATTGAAGAAGAAAAGACCAGTAATTCATACTACTTCAGCTATGCTAGCAAAAGTATGTTTTTTTATTGCTTGCGTTATCGTTTAGGCTGATTTAACTGTAACATAATTATTACACTTACCTCTGGGCATAAAAAGCGTTTTCACCGAAACAGATATGTACCCTAGGCAGCTGTCTGTTTTATAAATACATCAAAGCAAACCGAACGTACATAACTTGCAGAGTTGTTGGACATGTGATAAGTAGAGGAGACTAGCCAAATGTGCAAAAAATAACAAAAGTTTAGTAGCAAACACACAATATATCTGTTAATCTTTTTAAATTACAAGCTGATTCCTTAATTTCTTTCCAAAAGTAAACGCACATCTCGCTACCAATTGTTTCAGTAATCCGGTTCAACATTAGACCTAATATAATATCTCATTGAAAAATAAATCTTCATCAAATGATTTTAAGATTTCACCTCTCTTCAGTTTAATTAACTTATGAAAAACTATCATTGTCTAACTGTGATACCATCTACGTATTTCCTGTTAACATAGTTTTTATTTCTGTTAGTTTAGTCTTTTCATTGACGGTAACTACAATCTCCACTTTATTTGTGTACTTATATTGCCCAACTTTGACAGCAACTCCATATAATAGTAACTAAAACTGGGAAGTAAAATTAGAGAGGATAAATTATATCCCAAAAATGAATAAACTGAGATTCGTGTTAATGAAAAAATCACAAGAAGATCCATATCTCTTGAATAAGTCAATGCTTTAGAATATGTTTTCTGCTGAATGCTCAATGAATTCTGCTTTGATTTTTATTTAACTTTATAAGAAATTTTATTGAAGTGGCTTAGGTTTTATGGTTAATTAAAAGGTAAAAGTAAGGTTTACATTTGAGTGCAACCTATCTGCAGACATTATTTATGTCCGTCATCTGAAAAAGGCAGTAAGAGCTTAATTCCTAAAGGTTTTTGTAGTAACTATTTAACAAAGTGATCGCTGTGATGCTCCTGCAAATTACGTTAAAACTTTCCAACTATGGAATAAAAATGTTGCTAATGAACCACCACTTAGGCAATATTTTTATTTTATCAGATCACAGAATGCTGAAATAAAATCTTTGATAACTAAACAGTATAACGGGGAATGATTAAAACTGAAATGACGCCTGGGTCATAAGCCAATGACTCTCGGATTACTAGCGCGACATTCTGTCATCTAAAGTATGCAGTTTCCCTACAGTCAATGTTGGTTACACTCGACCATCACTTTAGCAAGTGAAACCCAAATATGCATATGACGCCACATTGGCTTCTCTTGTCACTTTTAGTCATACAAATCAGGAGACGGGAAGCAGATAGTTCAGTTTTGATTAGGTTACCTGGATCAGACTTGGTTTGGTAAACTGGTATTGACGTAGTATTTAACAACTAAATGTGAAGCCGATTCTCTTAAATCTAGTAAGTTAGTTATTAGGAGGCTTGTATTCCGAATCTGAGCAATACCTACTATTTAATTCTGCATTTCATGTTTTTCAAGTACATTGACCATAAATTGTACAAAAATGTTAATTAATTCTAACATGAAGTTAAAAATTAAATGTTTTAATTATTTCTTTACTGAATAAAAGTGCACAGTTCTAATGAACAGGTCTTTTGACATAAGTATCAAACTCGGGCTTTGTGGTAAAGTATAACTCCATTATTAAATTGGTGGACGGTGGCTAGCAGTGTAATCCAGGGTGCACATTTCGTCCTATTTGGGACTCGTCATCCACCAATTATATACTAACTAAATGTCCAGATATAGTCGAAGCATCTGCACAAGAAGCCGACATGTCAGCCTGAGACCGAGCACTTCGGTCCAATCGATCTAAATATAAAAGTTCAATTAAATATAACTCCATTATGTCTAGGATTATATGTAGATATATATATATATATATAAATGAAGCAAAAGTTGTGTGAGTGAACTGATATGACTATGATTGTGCTCCAAAAGTCATCAGTTAATATTACTGTACAATACTGTGTGATCTATCAAAATAAAATCTTATCCATAATGGACAGCTCTTTTCTTTGTAGATAACGAAAAAGAGAAAATTATCCCTCATATGTATAAATTAAGCATTTAGATTTTCTATTCGTGGACAAAATTTCAAGTAATTTTTACAAACCGGACTCCTAGAAAGAGTAGACTGAATTATATTCAGGAAACTTAAATTTAGTGGCGAAATGATATTTTACTCATAAAAAACAGCATAGTTTTGCCGATTGAATCTAGGGATTCTAATCTTATTGGTTGATAGTAAGACACAAAATGATGGTGAGCATATTTGTCTGCAAGTTCCCCTTATAACTGGAGGGTCCTCAGGTTTAAACCCAGGTAGGTGTTTACCGCTGAAAGGTTCGTAAATAGAATGAAACAGCTATTGGGTACTCTCTGATTTTTCAACAGTTCTCTAAATGATGTCAGCACGTGATCAAACCAGTAACCATTCACATTACTGTCAATCAACATTTTATAATGTTTGTGATTACTTTTTTTATAACCAAAAGTAACTACGTAGCACAAGTATTCATATTTATGAAAAAAAAATGCAAGAAATGATGATGTGTTCGATGAGCAAGTTTGACTTAGAAACCAAGTCTTTGCAATTCTGCCAATAAACAGGGATGAATGTTAAAACACTAACTGCTCAATATTGGTTGCATTATACTCTAAATTGGTAGGAGCTCAAAATCATTCATCCCTACTAAATAGCTGATAAGTGAACTACTTGGTCTAAAACCTGGGGGTTTCTAAAAGGCTATTATTAGGTGTCCTTAATAATCCTAAGACTAAAACTGATATATATATATATATATATATATATCCATCACCAGATTTCAATAGTTAGCAAAATGATGTTGGTTTATGATGAAGTCTTTTCTGGTAGATTTACCGTCTTATCTTCAACGGCTTTCTAGAAAAGCCTCTCCAGTATTTGCTAAGGTAGAAGTTATTGTTTTTCCTAAAAATTCACCGGTAATTTTAGTCTGGAAAAAACTAATGGCTTTGTTCACGAGGATCCAGTGAAATGTAAATGGTTGTAGAACGTTGCACATATTCCAATCGATATGGTGCATTCATTTTTAGCTCTAATTTTGCATGACTTTAATGACCAGATACTCATACAGTGAACATTGTTGTTTATTAAATTAAATTAAATCGTTTTCGTATTATCAGAGTAATGAAGAAACATTTTTTTGTTTTGATTAATTTAAGAATGAAATAGTCTCAAAATCTTGTACACCTGTTTCGTTTACTTTTTTTCACAAATACACATGAACTTTCTAGTCCGACAGTTTGAAAATATATAATTTAGAAAAACAAAACAATGAAAGTAAACAAATTATAAATTAAGAATAAATGAACAAAATCACGCTCTTATCTTTGTTGAGAGATATTTTAAGGGCTTATTATTAATTAGATAAATGAGCCTAACTCTGAAATTATGATTAGTAGGTAAAATGTTTTGAGCAGAACATACAAAGACACATAAGTTTATTTTAGCTTACTCAGGTCATGCATGAAAGAAACTTTCACTATCGACTTTGCAGTCACATGAAAGATATGTATATTCAAATGGAAAGTATTCAGCCTTAGACCTAGGACAGAGTTGAATGCTGATGCTTGGTTTCCAACGGTCCAGCGGATGATGCCACGTAAGATCAACATAATTTTAATTCTAGTCAACCTTAACAGTAATTTTGATGTCCAAAGTGGACATTCACTGAGACAATCTCTGAAAATTCTAGTTTATATATACATAGAACTTCAGGCAGGTGTTATATATACAGGGTGGGACTGGCAGCCTCATACGTAACATTCTCTCTTCTCCTAGCCTACTATCAACTGACAAACCAGGCGGGGTTTAAGGATGCATCGTTCGGAAAGGAAACTGTGGCTACTTGCGTTGTTCAAAAGCATTTTACCACTGAACCACAAACGCATATATATTCAGGATTATATTTACGTTTGACAACTGATTTCGTTTCTGCACTTTTAACTTTTTATTGAGCACTTTAATTTTTATATTTTGGACAAAAAACGTTCAAAATTACTTATTTTCTAACATTTAGGTTTGGCCATCTTGTTTCTAATGATGTGCTTATCTAAGGGTTCCCTGGTTTAACAGAGTTATTAGGAACAGTTGGATGACGCTTAAAATATCAACAGAATCTGAACCTTTAACGTTCAGGATTATGTATGGTTCAAGGAATGTGTTGTTTGAGTGTAATTTTAAATTTAGAAAACTATTTTTATCAAACATGCATTTTTCAAATCTTCTTTTAAAAATATGTCAATTTATAACTTGTCAAAATTTCTACAAACATTCTCATCACGGAAACTGCTTTATTTATTTTATTTTATTTAGAACTTGTGAATCAATGATTCTGTTCTCTCGCTTTATAGGACTAACTAAATATGTCTACTAATCAGACAATTGAAATGTTAAGACCATATATGAAAGATTTTGACAGTATTGTTTTACCCTATTGGTACAAATTTCAACAACCACATCCATATTATCAGTATACAATTGGATTATTCATTGCATGCACTGGAATCACTGGTGTATGCCTTAACTTATTAGTCATCATATTTTTTACCACGTAAGTTTCAGTGTTCTTTTAATGGCTATTTATAAGAAGCTGTCTGAACAAAATCCATACTAGTTGAGAAGCATTCACATCAAACGTCTTATACAGAACTTAAGAGTAATTATAAAACTACATATGTTTAGAATGCTTATGACTCAATAAGGAAATACGTTGGAGAGTAAATAATGCAATCATTTGGGAAATAAAACGTTCATACCACAGTAAAACATACTGCTACCTACTGAACTGAAAGATGGCTAACAAAGAAAGTGATATAGTCATTTATGTTAATAATATCTATGCAACAATAAGGAGACACACGCATGTAGTATATGGCTTTTCAAATAATACAGAATAAATAAAGCCACAATAACTTCTTTCATAAAGCTTCACACAAGCAAACTTTGCTAAAATTAACTGTAGGTTTCATAGCAGAAATTTTAGAAAAGACCTGTTTCGATCAGATTACCTACACAGGGAGTATTTGAAAATCTTTTACAACAATTCAACTTAGTCCACATCTCAGACTGCTCTGTAACATCTAAGATCTTGATATTCACAAAAGTTCACCTGGTTTTCAGAAACATATTGTTCTTTACGCCAAGATCAATTTGCTGTCGCTCAAAGTAGGCAATACATATAATTTCTTTGAAACGTTTGCATACTGTCGAGTAGATCAATTAATTATAATTACATTTCGGTAGTTACTTACACATTTTGGTAACATTTGGAGAAAAGTTACTTCCTGTGATCACACCAACGATTGGAGATTTTTTTTTTTGAATTCACGTATTTATAACTTGTAATCACATATGTAATCCATTTATTATTTTTATTTATCTTTATTCCAGAATTTCGTTTCAGGTTGCTGACAGCTGTTCTGAGTCACTTTTGTTGCATGTCTTCGGCATGACATTTATTTATGAATGTATATTCTGTTATTTGCCTTTCTATATCCTCAATGTTACTGTTTAAACGCATGCAACAAAGTTGACTCAGAACAAAATTCTGGATACAAAATAAATGGACTACATATGTTATAAATGCATGAATTAAAAAAAAAATTTCCAAAAGTTGCTGTGATCACAGAAAGTAACTTTTCTCGAAATTTTAGCAAAATTTTAAGAATTATTATTGTATGTAAACGAAAATCACGATATAATTACAATTAAAGGTGACACATATTCAAGAATATATATTTTACTTGCTCCAAATGATGTATCCCTGTATAAAACAATATGTTTACTAGGAGCACAAGTACTCACTGTCTTTTGTCATTCAGCTTTCAGTTTCATTTTAGTCTAGAAAATTCTCAGCAAGTACACCTGCGAAATAACTATCAGTTAATATCCCCTGCAAAACCATCAGCATTTATTGAAACCATGGTAATCTAAAGCCATTGTTCTGATTAAAGAAAAAGCACTGTCTTATAGTATAATACATAGTGGTATTACTTTTCTTGTAATTTACCTTTATCTCTTCTATTTTAGGGTTAAATCACTACGAACGCCTTCAAATATGCTTGTTGTAAATTTAGCAATATCAGATTTTGGTTTTTCCGCAGTTAACGGTTTTCCGCTAAAAACTATCTCTGCATTCAACAAATTTTGGCCATGGGGGAAATTTGGTTAGTTTGTTCACTAACGACAGTATGATCATAATTTGTCTGTTTATTTGTGTGAAATAGACTTATTCAAAATATGACAATATAAATTGGAAGTGTTATGAATTTGAATTCTACCGTCGCTAATTTCATGAAGGTCACACATATCATACATATTACTTTCAGAAAAGTTTGGTTAGTCTACATGGAAGACTGTTTGCTTCCTCCTGTAACTGAGTGATAATGTTCAGGGTTGAAGATACTATTTTATACGCAAAAATATGCCCTAAGTAGTGCGACATAATAGTCTGACTTCATGATATCTAGTCGTTAAAAGTGGTTTAGTGGACTTAGACGAGGTATATTAAAGTGCGACTGCATGAAAACATTAGCAATAAAAGCATAATTAAGCACTTGAAATAATGACTTCTTAGAACGACTCCGTTATAAGCGGTTGCAGCAATAAAGTGACAAATGAAACATAGTGATTTAGGTAACCTATGACGTTTTGTAGGTACATACGCCTCACGTATAATGTTGCTTGAAGAAAGAACTCACTGACTGAAAAAAATGCATTTAATAATGCTTTAGGAAGATCTGAATCTAAAGGATGTTAAGGGGAGGAAACAATGAAATCTATCGTGGAAATAAGTATGATCCATTCTACCGAAAATGTTTATTTTGGCGAATAAATCTTGTTTCTTCTTCATTAGTTTAATTTTTTATTATAAAAGCAAATGTTTGCAAAATTATGGTTGTATTCGCTCTTCACAAAACATATTTCTTTCACAATAATCCTTATCGTAAAAACTACTGTCCACTTTTAGATGGTCATTCATCGAATGTGTCGTACTATTACTTACTCCTTCAAACATCAGTAAACTGAACCTGTAACTAGATCATATGTGAAGACAAATTTTTCAACCGGCCAAAAGAACTGCGTAGTAGCACTTTTTGCCGCTGTTGATCAGTACGAATTCAAAAACTCCATAAAGTGGAAGGGATACATGATAAGTCTGGAAAATGATTTACAAAGGATAGTCTGAATATTTTCAACAATGAGTATAATATCTTTTAGTAAATATAATATAGCATGAATGCATTTATAACTTTAAAGGTTGCCATTAAAAGTAAGGATGATTCACTTGCATTACTAAAATAAAGCCTTTGAAACTCACAAGGAAATAAGCAGTTATTATTTTAGACAAATAAGATGATATAAATCAATACTTTTAGTGTTTATGTGGGATGAACATTTTAGTTGCACACAGTTTATATATTTCGAACCTGTATTTATAGTTTTTAGTAACTCATTTTGTGATTGATTTCTTTTACTTTCACTAAAGCTTGTGAAATGTATGCTTTAGCGGGTGGACTTTTTGGTTTTGTATCCCTGTCTACAATAGCCGCAGTGGCAGTAGATCGTTATATGGTTATTGCAACTCCCTTTGAAAGTGTATTTCAAACAACTAATCGGAGAACAATACTTTTAATGTTATTCTTGTGGCTTTGGTCTCTCATTTGGACGATTCCACCATTGTTTGGATTTGGTAAGAGAATATAAGTAATCTAGTGTTTAGTATGATTGACAGTAATCAGGAAATATTCTTTATGAAGGAACAATGTTACGTCACAAGACAAGTGTATCCTTACTCTCTTGACTTAAGTGATTACCTTATTCCTCATAATAAATTCAAAACGAAAACAATACAGATTTCATTAACAACATTTAAAAGTGGATCTTGAAAACTGTGAGTCCAGTGTAATAAAAGGCTGAAGTCTGGATGATGTTATCTGGTTTCAACATGAACTGCCACAGATAAGTGCGGATCATCTTCCTGCATGCTACATGATTGCAAATTACTTCTAAAATAATGACCACAGATTATATTCACTTTTTAGATTAAGAGATAATTTTCTGTGGGAAGGAAAACAGACTCATCAGTTGTAACTGAATCACGCTTATGATTGAAAGGGAATAATTTCCAACTGTAGCTGACTTTAAGAATGCTTGAATGGAAATCACTACGGATTTATGTTAACGGATCAGATCTAGTATGTCGTCCTGTCTTACAATAGGCTTTTAGCTACCTGATTGGCATTTTTATGTAATTTTTGAGTTAGGAATGCAAATCTATCCCAATAAACAGTTTTGACAGCCACAAAACCTTAGAAAAATATTCTGTTTCTTCGTACACTTGTAATAAAGATAGAAGTAAAGAATTTACTATTAAAACGTTATTAACACAACTGCTCTTACCACAACGAAAACAGAGATGATTTCAAGTAAACATCCGAACCGTTTACTGAACTGTAATTTTAGCACTTTTTTGGCTTAAGTCTTTTTGCCACGTAAACGTAAGGCAGTAAAACTTGAAAATATTTAACTTATTTATCACTAAACTTGGGTATTTCTTTATTTATTACTGTTGAAGCAAATGATATGGTTAGATACAAATTGTTCACTCAAAATAAGCATTGAAATAAAGATACATGTTGTAAGATACTGGAATGTCCCAGCTTTCCCATTGTCTTTCACTACACTTTGAAGACCACTAGATGAATACGACTTTTAATTTGCACTGCCTCACTTCTGAAGATAAGTGGTGAAAATAAATTGATTTAGAGGGTTTCTTATTTGATTACAATGTGCTAAGAGAGTCACCATTGTTTTGCTTTGTAATTATAGTGTTGATTTTTCTTACATAAATATAATAATAATGGTAAATCAACAATGACTACTAAACTTCCTCCTTAAAAAAGTTCAGAATGACTCAATTAAATGTTGACTAACTTAATATAACAAGATAATCAGTTGATGGGTGGTGACTAGCAATGGAATTCAGGATCCGCATTTCGTCCTATTCGGGATTTTTCATCTGGATGTACTTGCATTTCCCAGTGAGTGATGGGCCACAAGTGGTCTAATGAATAGAGCTTTTGCGTTTGAAACTATGGGTTCTAGCCTTGGTAGCAACACCATCACTCACTAGGGAATGTAGATACATGCAGGTGACGAGTCCCAAATGGGATAAAATGCGCATTCTGGATTCCACTGCTAGTTACCATCCATCAGCTGCCTTCAACTTACATAACAGGACATCGTCAAAACATCTGCACAATGAGCTGATATGTCAACCTGAGACCAAGCGCTTCTGTCCAATTAATTGACGAGAAAATCTAAAGTTGAATTAAATAAATAACTAGATAATCTTATTATTCCTATATTTTCCATTTAGATTCATTGTACTTTAGTAGCACATTTAATCTTTATCACAATGTAGGTAACAAATTAGGCCAGAAACTTCATTCATCTGAACCGTGTGGGCTATATCCAGTAAATCACTTCATATGCATGAAACACTTCTCTACTTTTCAGTTAGACTGACGATGATCAAACTTATATACATCATTTATTTATTCATTCTCCTGAACTGAAAACAGTTAAAGATACCGATAATGACATAGTCATTGAAAATGAAATCAAGGAATTATCAAGACTCTCTTTTTCAGCGATGATATAGGCAGAAATTTCGACATGGAATCACTATCAGGTTGTATTTGTGAAGCAACCTGATAGCTAATGTAGTCTAACAACTCAGTTAACATTGAGGTAATGATGGTTAATGAATAATATGTGCTTAACTTTACATCTTATAAATAAATACAAGATAACTTAATTTATTTAGACATTTTTTTGTTTAACTCTGTTAAGGTCGATATGTTCTAGAAGGATACCAAACATCATGTACATTTGACTACATATCTACAGACCTTACCAATCGATTGTTCAATATTGGTTTATTCGGCTTCGGCTTCTTGTGTCCATTGTTTCTATCGATATTTTGCTACTCCAGAATTGTTATGATTGTTAGGAGACGAGGCAAGGATTTCATGAGATGGCAGCAAGAACAAGTACCAAGAGCGATAATCAAAAGAATAAGAGTACCACTGTGTGTAAGTGAAAATCGATTCATGGAAATTATATGATTTCACAAATAATGAGAGTTTGAAAAGAATTGATGACTTCTGTATTATATATATATAAGTTCTATATCTATTGTTAAAGAAGACACAAATTTATTTTTTTGAAACTATGAACATTCTAACTGTTTAACAGAACCTGTGGACTACGAAATCACCTTGTTGGAACATTTATCTATCTTAAGCACATAAAAGCTTATTTTGTGTTTGCATTGTGGCGTCCACTGAAACTGTGTCTCAATAGTAAACCAAATTAGTGAGTGTAAACCACTACTTCGGAGACCACATTTTCCAATGCTCATGGAAATACTTTTTCTTTGGGTCCATAAAAATAAAAAATCTGTTTGCATATCAACTAGTAATTCACAAGCATTTTACACTGAAGCCATTATCATGAAATACTACATTGTAGTAAAACCAACAAAAGCATGAAACATTTTTTTGCATTATAGTCTCTGAAACTTAGATAGTTCTCATGTTATTCATCTTATTTTATGATAAATAACCCTAGACATTTAACCAAAATATTTATCGGAAGTAATGTATGCTGAAATCAAACTGCGCTATTAAAAATTCCTTTTATTGCATCGGTGGCACAGTGGTTAGGAATCTTGCTGATCATACATATGGTCCGAGGTTCGATCTCCCGCCGACGAACACCTGATATCTATGGTCGGCCTGAAAAATTTGAGCTACCGATATCCATGCTGAAAATTCCTTACTTGTACCAAAAGTACAGTGTGGAATCAAGCTGTAATCAAAAATAAAATAAATTAACCGTAGAGAAGATTCTCAGATTAATGCTGTGGACGTTTTCCTGTTACTTAAGATTCTTCAGGTAAATGCAGCTGTATGCTTATAAGTATTGTTATAGACAAAATACTAGCTAAGTATTTACAATGCTAGAGGGTTACTACTTAGAATTATAATTTCCCGAAACTATTTCACCAGCTAGAAATTCAGTGAAATGCAAATTGTGAATAATCTGCATAAAAAAAGTTTTATACGAACTACATTGTTCCAGAGACGTGTAAGGAAAACTGATTATTAAGCAGCATAAATATGTGTTCGGAATTACGTTATGCAGTATGTCTGATAATAGGTCCAATAAAGCAATAATTTATCGTCACATGTCTATAGTCTTCGTATACTCAAGTTATTAGTCTTTTGTGTGAACAACACTTTCCTGTTATTGAACGCTATTATTGACAATATCTTGTAAGTCTCACTAAATTTTGTGGAAAAACCTGCTAATGTAAATGGTTATGTAGATTTCGAGACTGGGAACGACAATATTATAATGTGAATAATTCATATGCTACTTGATGTCTAATAAAGTTTGCAGTGGAAATTATCCTTCATATTTTAAAAGAATAATAATCCTCCCAGTGTAACATATAGGTAGAAGAATATTTCTCAATTTAACTCCTTCCCATATTGTTTAATGAACAGATACAGTTTGAGAATCTTTTTATTTTAGTGTCTGTTTCTTCGTGTAAAAGTAGATAATTTATTATACTTAAATTATTTATGAAATAATTTATTATTAACGTATCCTGTCATCGTTTTATATTATAGCATCAACAAAATCTGACAGTTTTGTGCTCAAATCAGCAGCTATACTGTTAGGTGTTTATTCAATATGCTGGACACCGTATGCTGTTGTCTGTTTCATAGCTCTTATCGGTTATCCTCATGTTCTTACACCATTAATGGTTGAAATACCTTGTCTGTTTGCTAAAACAGCAGCTGTATGGGATCCGTGTATCTATGCCTTCAGATATCCTAGATTTCGTGCACTTTTAGAGCGTCGATTCGGTTTATCATGCTTTGCAGGGAATAAACGCAAGGTTAGTTGTCCTATTCAGCTTTATTAAATGGATATTTTTATAAATTTTGATATATTGTGACAGACAACTACCTAGATAATAAGACCTAAAGTAGAAAATAAAAAGGGATCATTCTCTTTGTGAATATTATAATTTTTCGTTTTCGTTATTTTTTTGAATGATTTTATGAATAACCGAAAATATTAATGAAATAAACCATTTCGAAAAATTGGTTTGATGTCTGCGTTTTCGTTTGAAAAACTATCATTTTTTAATTACTTATTATTCCATTAGGTTCCGAATGGAACGCAGGGCTTCAACAGCACATTCCCCTTTTCATCCCGTTTTCTGCAGTCCTCTTTAGCTGGACCCACGCTTCGCCATAGTCTCTCATCTCATCCTCATATGATGTCTTGCATGTTACCTTCGGAAACCCCACTCATTGATTCCCATTCGAGTTCCACTCGACTGCCTGGCACTCTGTGTCACCTAGCGGTCCCCTCAGTATGTGTTCGTTACATCCTAATTTCCCTCAGCATATTTGTTGAGCGGTAAATTCTTGTACTGTTCGTTCCCAGAGTGTTTTGCTGCTTACTCTTTCTAGCAATCTAGCCTTCATTGTGGAGTGAAGGTAAAACTATGATGAAATTATGCAGCCTGTCAAAAAAAATATTTTATTGTCGTGAGAATTCTGTAGTACTGTGATGCACAGCATACTATGATCTAGTGAAATCATGGCGAACCCAATCATCAAGCTGTTTTTTCTGTAAATGACGTCATGCACATGTGAATTTGGTTGAATACCTAGGATGAATAATGTCTGCAGTTATTTCGTCAAGATCAGTTTATACCTTAGGACGCCAAATATTTCCTAGCTCTTTAATTCCAAGTAGTGATTCTTATTTATCGATTGAATCTGTGCACTATAATATGATTAGTTCTAATTGTTAGCTGATTTAGATGAATTTTACGCTCAGTGGTTAAGCTTGTCTGCATATACGCTAGTATAAGTTTGCATTATGTTTCAAGTCGTGCGTCGGTGGTATGGTGGTTAGGACGCTCGCCGACCATTCACATGGTCCGGGGTTCGATCCCCTGCCGACGCACTCCTTTACCTTACTTAGCCAGTAATAAGATGGGTAAAGAAGGAAGGTTGGGCATGAGGCTAGTAACCTCATCCTGTAAAACTAAACACTGCTACAGAAAATTCAAGCCACTGGCTTGAAGCCCTATGTTCCACTGGGAACGTGAAGGAAAAATTAATTAATTTTTATGTTTCAAGTCAATGCTTTTCGGTTTCAAAAACAGAAACTTCACATCATTTCTATTCAAGTACTATCTGTCCTGATGTAATGTATGCGGAAAAGACACTACGAAAGATCATGCGTTAAGCTTCCTGACAGATTTTTTAAAAACTTTAGTTATTGATGGACATAAATCTATTCTGACTGTTTCCAAAACCACTAAAATAATTATTCAGAGAAAAGTTCAAAGGTTTTGCTGGTGTTTTATTAAACAACGCTTACTATTGTGACCAATGTTTGACTGATAAAATAACAATATTTTTTTTATCGTTATTTCATTTATCAAATAGATTGGCAGTACTTCCAAAGCAGAAGCTTCGACTCTATGTCAAGTTGAAGAGTAGAAATCATTTATGGCAATGATGGAAATAGAAAATGATATTTCACTTTAATGTGCCTCAGTGTATCTCTTCTATAATCATCTTTCTCATCACTATTATTATTGTTACTATTATTATAATTGTATTAGAAAAGTTGTAATTAACTAGATCTGTCTTTACACAAGAATATTTGATTACTCAGAAAACTACATTTGTTATTTCTATTATTTTGAATACAATGTACAAATTGTTGAGCTGAAATAGTTGTTAGTAAAAAACAAAAATAGAATAAAACAATAGAACATTTGAATAATTTGGTGTTTCGAAGAGTCGCAACACGGCTTTACTAGTCAGCAGTTTTATTTTTTCAAATAAAACTTTTTGAAAATTGACAGCAATGAACAATTTTATTCTATTTATCTTTGTTAAACAAAACATGTTCATGTCGCAATTTAATCGTCTATGTAACGTTAAGTGATTTCAGAATTTAAATGGATTCTGAGATACTATGAAAACAAAGATTTTTTTGAATTCCTTAAAATCGATCAGCACTTAGAAAAATATCACGTAAGTCTTAAGTTCACTTGAACATTGAACCAAATAGGCTAATTTAGTAGTTACTGGAATAAGAACACTGATTTAGTTAGCATCATTCCACTTGAAATTCCCGGGCAAACAGAATTTATCTGAAAGTCATATTGCTAGTTTTGGAAGTCACTTGGAACTTACAAAACCAAATCTTACTAAGCTAATCTGAAAATATGGTGAAACTCTCGATAGGATGAAATATGTTTCATATTCTGTGACTTCATTCAAACGATGACGTATATTTCTGAGATACTTTCTTAATAGTGATGCATTCCGGAAATACATTGTTGCATTTTGTCTTAATATTACCCTGTTTTCTAGATCGGAGTGAAATATTTTATAGGAATAATAACTCCATATTTCTTCGGCGAATTCATTTTCATATCTGTACAATCGCAAATATATATGTGTGGTTGTTTTGTATGTGTGTGCACATTAAATTATCCAAATTAAAATACAATTAGTAAGTTCAGATGAATTGGATGTTGATATAAGACGACAGTAAAAAAGTGATGAGTTGTCACAAACGATTGTTAGAGAACAGTTACGTGATGGCGTGATTAGTTTGATGAAAGAGTTGTGCTCAGGTTGTACACGGAAACAAAATAATATACGGAATTACAGAAGGGTTTTAAGTAGTTAGAAAAATAAGAAAACAAACAAAAGTTAATTCAAATCAACGGAGTTATTACCATGATAGTAGAAGTGGTTGAATAATTTTCTTTTGTATGCACAATTCTGGTTCTTCCAGCTGAATGGCTAGGACTTCTGCGATGCAAAGAAAACAGAATCATACTGTCTTTGGAAGGTTGTTCTTCACTTTGTAGATTACTTTGAAGGAGACCTTTCTTGGTGGACAGTAATTTACGTCAATGCTTATGCCCCCAATATTGGTCGTGAGAAAAATGAGAACAAAGGCTTTGCGTAGACGGATACAGTTAACATATAGATGATCTGGTATTCAAGAAACAGTTACAAAGAAATGCAAGGTTAACTATCTGTGAGAAACAAACAATCAGAGAACTGTTTTTTCTGCTAACAATAATCTATCATAATGTACATGAAAATCTATAAATATGTGTTGATTTCCTTAATAAACGATCTGATGCTTGGTCCTTGCCTTCTGTTGTTACACTTTTACATTAGATCACAACTTCTTTTGTGCTACACATAAAGAGAAACTGAATGTAGAGTGCCTTTGTTGTTAGATGGTTGGCGAAGATAATCAGGGAGCCTAAGACCTAAGTTTCGTGCCTTTGGCACTCGTCAGCGAGGCGTATCTGATATCTTGAAAGGACTCATTTCCATTCTGAGATTTAGTTTGCACCCAACGAAGGACTAACGCATGATTTTCGCTACCAATTATTGTCCATTGAAGGTTCCCAATAGAGTGTTACAGACAGTCAGTCGTGATGCCGAATAGTTTAGTGTTAAATTGTCTGACTACAGCACTGAGAAACATGTATTCGAATTTCAGAAAAGATATGAGTTTCTAAAAGATTTCAGGTACACTTGGTTGACGAGTGTCAACAGGCAGCAATCCTGTGTCCAAAGTCTCCTGTAGAGTGTACAGAACCTTCTGACAACAGTTCAGAGTACAAGCCACCTAACATAGTGATCACATTGCGAAATGGTCTGATAAAATTCAGACTGCGCCAAACAAAGGACCAGATGCATGACAACAGTAAATACCTAGCATCCAACGGAATTACAGAGTCTTCCATTGTAAACTTCACAAATGAGGCATTGTCTGTAAATTGTGTAACTTACCGTTTCACTGAAATGTCTAAATGACGAAGAAACATACACACTTTACATTTGATGGTGTTTGTCTCCATCTGTCCATAGAAATGACTTGTTTAAGCTAATCTTCTATTCATTTCTTACGAACTGTGACATTTGTTGTTGTTGTTTGTGTTAGCAAACGAGACTCGGACCAAAGTTAAGAAATTTACTGTATTTTTTTTCCTTCACGTCCCCCAGTGGAACATAGGGCCTCAAGCTAGTGGCTTGAAGTTTCTGTAGCAGTGGTGTTTATTTTACAGGATGGGATTGTTAGCCTCATGCCCAATCTTTCCTCTTTACCAGCATTATTTCTGGCTTAGAGAGGTAAAGGATTGCGTCAGCAGGGGATCGAACCCCGGACTATGTGCATGGTTGGCGAGCGTCCTAATCGCTATGCCACCGACGCAAACGCGAAATTTATTGCACACAATATTTATTCAGTAATGGCATTAACTATTGCGTAATGGTGAGATGAATGGTACTTTGTTTTAAGTAAAAAGAGTCAGTTAATTATTAACTCCAATGATATATTATCTGGCTTCTATCTAGTGACATAATATTTATATTGGTCCATTACTCAAACAGAAACCTATCCCAGTGTTTATTGTGCCCAATACTTTTCGGAATAATTTCTACTCATCTTCATTCTAAAACCAGCAACAGTTTCAGAGTCAATTGCAGGCAAAATGCATCCAAAGTTATGCGTGTGAAAGTTGAATATGACTGGAGTGATATTTCTAGTTTCCCGTCCATTTGCAATACACCTAAAAAGGATACTAGTGTTATTGGACTAACTGTTTCATATAGTATTTCAAATATTTCAAATCTGTCAAGTTTTGAATAAAGTCAAAAACTTCTATAGGTTTAAGTTGCATTTAGGTTGTGCATGTCTTAATTATGCATCTTCGATTTTATACCAGAGAATGTTCGTTAATCACAGTTTTTGATTCTGAAACCACATTCAAAGGATATTGTAGTATTTATTGAATCCTCAGAAAGTCATAAACATAACATACTGAAAAGAATTGTTAGTTGTCTTGTGTTCTTTTGGTCATTTAATATATTTTTGATACTTGTTTTAAGGAAACAGCATGACAAGGATTTTAGTTGTTCCGTATTATCTTTTTTGATGAGTGAACCTTAACTATCCATAGCCTAAGCTAATGTGTACAGGTAGCTTTCAATGACTCCCGCAAAAAAATCAGGCTTGACTCTGTAATGTCATTAGATTCTGTTACTGTTAAATTGGAGGAGATTTTGCTTTTTCTAAAAAGTCCAACCGACAGATAATTTCTTGTTTCATATCTGTAATCCAACGACCTGTATCGCAGCCATTAGATAGTGAGGTTTTTGATTTGCTTTCGATAAAGAAAGGGAGATGAAATTTGCGGTATAAAATGATATCCTTCTATTTCACAGGTTCTCATCAGCTGCAGACTACCTGAAATTACAATGGTTACATAATTGATAATAATATACTTTAATGTTTGATTGTTAGTAGAAAAGAGATACGCATACAAAATGAGAGCATTACAATTATTTAGTTTAATTTCTCATCATCAATTTATACGCTTTTAAGCTTGAAAAGAGGGGAAGGGGTAAGACGGAAAACAGAAAAAATTGATTAACAGAACAGTGTTGCCTTGTAGGTTCACATAGCAACTCAAAAAACAAAAGCGATTGCAGTCTATGAGATTAAGATTTAGATATGATAGAGAAGATTTGTAGCTCAGGTGGATAATTTTGATGTGGTTTTGTTCTCTGAGCTGGATGGTTAGTTTGCGAAGCTTTCATCGCCCTACTGGGTGACATCTTCAGCGCATACTTCAATTTGAAGCTTCGCAAACTAACCATCCAGCTCAGAGAACAAAACCACATCAAGATTAAGATTTATTCAGTGAGTTGAGATCACTGAATCAGATGAATAATTAATGTAATCAAAATCAAAATTTAGTTGCCAAGGCAGTGGGAGGTTAATCACACTGTCTTTCTGTATGCATAAGTCTGGTTTATATAGTTTGATTGCGATCGCTGCGGCAAATAGTAGTAAATTTGCTGTCCTTTGTCTATTTAATATTTTGAAGGACTTAGAAATCTCTACGAAATGTCCGGACATCTTTTGTTTTTTGAGTTGCTATGTGAACCTACAAGGCAACACTGTTCTGTTAATCAATTTTTTCTGTTTTCCGTCTTACCCCTTCCCCTCTTTTCAAGCTTAAAAGCGTATAAATTGATGATGAGAAATTAAACTAAATAATTGTAATGCTCTCATTTTGTATGCGTATCTCTTTTCTACTACCACTCAAAACATTAAAGTATGTTATTATCAATCATATAACCATTGTAATTTCAGGTAGTCTGCAGCTGATGAGAACCTGTGAAATAGAAGGATATCATTTCATACTGAAAATTTCGTCTTCCTTTTTTTATCGAAGTTTATCAAGGGAACCAAATGTGTGAAGTTTTTGATTCGCATTTGATTAATCCAAAGTGAATTATATGACACTGTCTCATACTTTGAAATAATTCAGAATCTGTGTAGCCCAGATTGACGATTTCGTAATCAATTTTGTTGAATTCTCTGTCCTGGATAGCTTAATTGTGAAGCTGTTGTTGTTTTTCTAGATAGTATCTTCATAGAAATAAGACAG